GGTGGATTAAGCTCGAGGCATATTCCCGAATAAATACCTATTACTCAGTTTCATTTTTAATAATTTATATTATATTTAAACTTTTTTTAGTATTATACAGGATGGGAACTATTTTAATTGACATCGCAATAGTTACGCAATACTGATTTTCATCTTTTATTATCATCATCATTATCAGTATTCTTTTTGTTAGCGTTGAAGTTTCATAATTTACATTATTTATTGTCTATAAATAAGTGGAATAGGTTTCTATTTTTAGCTGACTTTTCTCTTTTTATTTAAAGGAGAAAATAAAGAAAATGTTCTTTTAATCTCACAAAGTCAATCTCAGTTGGTCAAAAAAAATTTGGTACATAAAGTAACCTTTTACTAAATTTAACTATTTCCGTCTTTAAATTGTACTTTTACTGTTTTCATAGTGGAAAAAGAATGCAGTGTGCCAGATTATGAATATAACTTTAAAACTGTTCGTAATTTTAAAAATACATATCTACTCCCCTCAGTATTATTCCCTCTCTTTCCAAAATAACAGGGAAACCGCAAAAGTACAATATTAAAATGGAAAGTAGTTAAGGAAAACATTAAACAGGGTATTTTTAATTATCATGTACACACGGAGTGATGTAATTTTTTGGCTTATTTCATGACTAAAAAGTCATATAAACATAGGTCTGCAAACGCTTCGATACCGATCTATAGGTTGCTGTAATTTTAAGAATTTTTTGTTTTTCCCTATAGCTCCTGTAGTTTTTTGTTATGGTACAAAACAGCAAATTTATTTTGTATTTGTACCAGCGATGCACCGAAAAAAAGTTCAGGGGAAGAGAAGGGGACAAGACCCCTTAAAAAATATCATCCTGTAGATGTTAACAATCAATCGATATACCTAATTATGTAAGCCCTACAGCGCAATCTAGATTTCAAACTTGAACTAAATATATTTAAAACTGCAGGAATTATAAACAAAAAAATTTTGAAATTATTTCAACACCCTGTAGATCGGTAACCAAACGTTTGAGGACCTATGTCTATATAACATTTTCGTCATGAAATAAGCTAAAGAATTGTCCCCTTCTGTATGTATATGATATTTAACAACCTCCTGTATAAATTTAAATACATGAAAGTATTACATAGTCAAACTTAGTAAACGATTAATTTATGTATCAAATGTTTTTTATGTTATAACGAGCAGAATCTATTTTTAAAATATAATTTTTATATATTTTTTTTGGGTCACGGTTTTAAAAGATAATTTTTTAGATTATTGCTTTCATCTTAATATTGGTAGTTCACATTATTTATAAATTTTAAATTTTTTGAGTTCATTATAAAATAGTTTCTATCAGGTATACTTATTTATTTCTATTTTATATTTTGCAGTATTATAATGAAATTTTTAAGAGGCTATAATAATGTATCAGTTGTGCTATTTATTAAAAATTTGTATCAAAATAAAAAATAATATTTCATGTAATATCTTTTTTAATAAAGAAATAGAAACATGTAGTGTTTTGATATTATTAAAAAATGTAAGCAATTATTAAATGATTTTTACTTCCCTCGAAAATTGAGAAGAATTGTAATCATAAAAAAGTCATCTTCCGAGATTATTTCAGATTTTCACGTTTCAGGGACGCTAGATTACGAAATAGCTATTTATGTAACCAGTTACAAAATACTTTATTTTGTGTTACGAGTAAATATTTTTGGGACGAACGGAGCAAGCTCCCCTAAAATGAACGAGTTACACAAAACGGCATTTCGTAACGTGCTACATACAAATTTTTTTCTAATTTTGACTTGATTATTTATAAACTTGTGTTTAGTTAAAAAATGATTCACTATAATTCTTTAGTAGGTATTTCCAATCAAATAATTCAGAAAATTGTTGTATTTGATTGCCCATACCGTTCTTTTTAATATAATAATAAAAATAAGGGAGATATGCAGTGTTGCCAATCTGACTTTTGACATTACCCGCGGGAAATTTGAAAAAAAAACCGTTTTTACCCGTTATCCTCAAAGGAGTACGTCAAAATTTTATCCTCACCATTTCTGGGCAGTTTTGCATAACAGTGTTCAACTATTTAAAAAATAAAACCATTTTACATCTTTCATTTTTTTGCTTTCTTTTTTGTTGTTAAACGTAATGTCAAATGTGAAATATCACTATTCATTGCCTTTTTTCGATATTTCGATTTTTTGATTTTTGATTTTTCGTTTTTTTTTTTGATTTTTCGATATTTCGATTTTTCGATTTTTCGATTTTTCGATTTTTCGATTTTTCGATTTTTCGATTTTTCGATTTTTCGATTTTTCGATTTTTGGATTTTTGGATTTTTCGATTTTTCGATTTTTTGAACAATACACATGCCTAAACAAAACATGAAGCTTCGCTTTTCAATCAGAGATAAACTAAAAAAAAAAGTAGGTCGAGAGACAGCAAATGTAGGTTATATTTTGATAAAAATGAGACTAAAACTGCCTGTAATTTGATAAACGAAATGGCGTCACTCGTCTCAGTGAATAAGATAAAGTTAATTAACCTACTTAGGTTAGGTAATTAAAATTATTACAGTTAGTACAAGCTTTTTTCTGTTGTAAACTCCTCTTAATTTCTAAATACATATTCTGCTTCCCATATAACAGCACAAAGAAAAAATAACAAAAAAAGCAAATGGCAAAAACTGACAACAAACGCAAACTTCTAATTATTTAGAATATAGGGTTTTCTGTGGCTGGACAGGTTGAAATAAAATGACTACATAACCCATCTTCTTCCTTCTCTTCTTAAAAATCAGAAATTCTTCTTTTTGTGTTGGCCTTTTATAACATAATCCATTTAATAACCTTTTGTGTAACATTTATAGCATTTTATAGAAATATTTTCACTAGTAATACCACTAGAGGTCAAAAAATTTCCTGATATTAATTTGACCTCGCATGGTATTCGGTAAGAAAATTCCACGCCGAATTATGGTTGAAAATTAAATATTTTTAAAATTTATTTTTCGTTTCTCAACAATGCAAATTATTTTCTCCAAGTCACCAGTGAAACATAAAAGGTGTTGTCGCCTTGATTGTTGAGTTGTCATGGTAACTAAGTGAGACCCTAATCTCGAATATAATTTCAGTTTTGAAGTTGTCAAGCGGCCCGACGTAAAAAAATGTTTCGCTGCAATTATTTAGGCCTTCAAATTGCTTATTTTTACTCATTGTAGTTGCATGGGAATACCATTTGAAAATAGAAAATAGTATATTCTTTAATTTTACGTAAGTTTTGAATAACTACAGGTGGTAGAAAATTGTTTTTCTGCGTTTTTATTAACATGCGTTATGAGCGCTTTAAAATAGTATGAAATTCATAACCAGCGTCAGCAAGCATCAATCGTAGGAGGCTGTGATCATTGTATTTTGACAGTTCAAAACATTAAATAACTCGCGTTTTGTTGCGATAAAGAATATTGCACAGCAAGTAAAACCAACAAAATTACCTATTTGTTTAAAAACGAATCGATTTGAAAATCATACGCTATGCAAAATATGCGTGAAATTGTCTGATGTAATGATCAATCATTGCACCATGACTTACTTACTCGGATTAATAGAGGATTGTGGCTCCAACTTGAAAAACGAAAATTTGTTCCGAATTGTCCACGAATATTTGCGAATGGGAAAAAGGTGAATAAATTAGTGTCTAAATACTATATATATTTTATTAGACATAGACACATAATTCAAAGCATCCAAAGTCCTGCATTTTTGCCATTAAGAAGAAAAGAAGTGGCCGAAGAATATAGAAAACACCTTAGCATTGTAACTAAAATGTATCAAAACTAAACCTATTATGTGAACAAATAAAAACCAGTCTGTCAAAAATGGTCTGTTATTGTAAACGTCAAAAAATTTCCAGTATAATTCGCTGTTGGGTACCCCACGAGAAAAAAATTTCCACTAAAATACCTCCGTTGCCATGGTGATCTGTCAAAAACACGTATTTTGATTGGTTCAAAATTACAGGTGTGGAATTTTCAGTGAAATATTTAACCAAAATATTTCAGAAACATGTGCTTGAAATGTTACATGTTTGAAACGTTTGAAATATTTTTGAAACACTTCTAAAATAATGTGTGCTGTATGGGTATTTACTTAAAATTTTCCATAAGTGAGAAATCTTTATTTTGCCCGCGTAGCTCTATAATCCATTAACCCATTATATATTTCTGTTTTATTGATACTAAGTTAAAATGAGAGAATCATATATGAAGTATTTTACAATTGTTTTTCCTAATACTATTAATACTCGTATATGGATACAAAAATTTTTTTTCACGGGTAAATGAATGTTTTTCCTGGAACTTTAAAATACGTTAAACTGCATTCATGCATTTACCAGGGGTGGCTTTGATTTAAACTCATTATGTAATTTAGACATGGTTTTTATTCTTTGATTTGTGAGAGATTTTTAAATTAGGTAACGCAATCTACAGATTATGTTTACGTTTACTATTTATTAATTATATGGGGTGGATCATAAAGAGAGTAACTAAAATATGTTAAAAAATACGAGGTTTTTAGAACAATAAATCTCTTGCTTCTGATGGCAAAAGATCAGAAACCGTGAAAGAATTAGTTCTGGAAATTGCAGGCCTACTTGCTCAGTTAATAAATATATGTTTCTGTAAGGGCGGGTTGTATCAAAGTCACATTACTGATTGGTTAACTAACCGACGGTAAAATTTAACTAAGCAGTTATGGATAGATGTGTTGTACGAACGAAATAGTTCCGTCAGTTTGCTAACCTTATAATATTCAAAGGTTGGTAACAAAATTCTGTTCGTTTGATCTGAGATATAATTAAAATAACCTTAAAATGTCAAATAAAAATAGAAAGAAGAGAAATATCTAAAATTTTATGAATTTATATTTTATTTCTGTCAAGTCGTCAGGCCATTTTGTGTTTATTATAAAAGTTTTGAAAAAATATAATATTAAAAATGGAATTAACAGGTATTAAAAGGAAGCGAGAGCCTAATTTTACTGCCAAAGAAGAGATAATTTTGATTATATGTGTTAAAAAGCATATAAAAATTGTTGAAAATAAAACAACGGATGCTATTAATAATGCCGAAAAGTTAAGAGGCTGGGAAAAAATTTATAAAGATTTTAATCAAAATAATGATCGGCATAGAAGTGTTAAGGCATTAAAAGAAAAATACGAAAATCTGAAGAAAAGGGCAAAAAAGGTTTTTGCTGAAGAAAAAATTTATAATAAAGGCACAGGTGGAGGACCCTACAAAGATTTTGGAATCACAGATGTCGATTTACAATTGAAAGAAATACTGGGGAAACGTTTGGAAGGAAGTATTTAATATTGGGATGGTGATTGTGGTGGTAAGATGATTACCAAAGATTATTTGAACAATATGTTAATTCATATATATTTTTAGACTCTGAAGAAAACAGCAACACAGAAATTCAGACAAGCTGTAATGTTGTAGATTACGAATTTGAAAAAGAACGTAAGTACCTACTTGCTCGCCCTTTTAACATAATTTTTATATTTAAACTATAATTGTTTTTAGTTGATGCAAATGAAAATGAGGAATTTGTTCAGTTCACCGCATGGGACCATAATTATGATCAACCATCGACCTCTACAGCTAATGAAAATTTACTACAACCATCTACCTCTACAGCTAATGTAAATGTACCAAGAGGCCCAATTTCTAGAATGTTTTTAGAGGATAAAACAAATTCAAAGGATGAGTGCAATGAAGGAAAACATAGCCGAGAAACAGAAGTGGAGACTGTTTCCAAAGAACAATCATATTTTAAAAAAATGAATGTAAATTCAATAAGAACACCTGTTTCCATTAATTTAAAACGGACTCCCATATCTTCTAATGTACCAAGGACTGCTACAGGAAACCGATTTAGACAAACAGATCCACTAAAGACTAAGTTGGGTGACTGGGCAAACAGTAAGTCTGAATTAGTTGATCTCCAAAAAAAACATATTCAAGAGGAGCATGATATTAAAATTAAGCATTTGGAAAAAAAAATCGTTTAGAACTGGAGCACATGCAAAAAGAACACGAGGCCAGAATTGAAGTAATTTTGAAATCCACAAAATGATTTTTATTTTGTTACATTTTTAAGATTAAATACATTTTTTATAAGTATTATTTTCATTTCTCATTGTAAATTTAAGTTCATATTCCCAACTCAACTATAAATGCAAGTAGGTAACTTAGAATAGTAAAATTTGTTATACCTCGACTTTGCACTAAATCTAAATAAATAAAACAAACTAGGTTAAGTAAGTAAATTATTAAAAATAAGTTTAACAATCAATTGATATTCCTTGCAATGCAATAATTTAAAAAATTATATTATATTAACTGTCTGAAATACTCATTGATAAAAGTTAAACGAGTAATTTTTGCCTGAGCATTTTGTTCCCTAAAAACTTTCAAATTAATATTTTGCAATATATTTATTGCTGCTTCTATATTGTTATGTACTGGTGGTAAATTATCCTTCATTTGTATATCAATGTTATGCAACACTGCAGTTGCTAACACAATTTTTTCAACTTTCTCAATGTTGAGTCTTATTCCAAGGGTCAATATAGGGAATCTTCTTTTCCAAACCCCAAAAGCTCTTTCTGTAGGATTTCTGGTTCGTATCTGCGACTCATTGTATAAATTTTCTGCAGGATCTTGTGCATTTGCTAATGGTGTTAATAAATATTTAGATAATCCATAAGCACTATCTCCCAGCAGCAGACTTTCTTCACCATATTCTTGATGTTCCATACCTCTCCTAACTCGTGAATTTAGAAATATGATTGAATCCGTAACTGATCCTGGCCAACGTGCTACAATATTCTGAAAAGACAAATCTGCCTTGCATATAGCTTGAATATTAAAAGAAAAGAATCCTTTGCGATTTCTATAGATTTCAGCTTCTTCGCCTCCGGGAGACTAAAAATAACATTAATGGTTAAAATATATGTTAAAAATTATAGATCTTATTTTTTTATATCTGGCATACCTATTAAGTGGGACATAAGGGCACAATGTCTATACATTCTAGTACTGGCCATCAAGAGATGGTGTACCATGTATATTCTAGTTTAGTTCTTGACTTCAATGTGTGTTCATAAACATGCATTGTTGTCAATTAGGTATATCATTCTACATTATAAGCACATGCCAGCAGGCAAAAAAATTATTATTTTGTGAAAACTTACTATAATTCGTATATGTGTACAATCTAAAGAACCTATACATCTAGGAAATCTTGCAATATTAAAAAATCCTTGGCGAACGTTATTAATTTCTTCTCTTGTGTTTGGCATTTTTATAAATTGTCTTCCTAATCTTGCAAAAACAGTCAAGCATCGGTCAATTTGCCTACTGGCAGTGGGGGAAAATCCGCCGACGGTCGAACGGGCAATTTTTTTTTTTTTTTCTTTTTTTAACGATTTTAGACCTTCTGAAACACATTTCAAAATACTTTTTTTGCCCTGCAAACGCTATAAAATATTTTTTTCTTACCTTAAAACTATTAAAATGTGTCCTCCAATTTCGATGTTGAAAAAATTTGAACTACATCATTTTGATTAATTTATTGTTATAGAAACTGCTAAATAATAACACTAGACCATCCATAATGCAATAAACCATCCAAATTTTTTCATAAACAGTATTATTTTCTTAATTTACGACCAAGTTACATTTTGTCAAAATGATACAAATTTCATAACCGCAATGACAATTGACTTCGGCAGTGTGACATGTGTCTAAAAGAAATACAATGTTGCCATATCAATTATGTATTACATAGCAATGGTAATTTTTACCTATGCCCTGCGTTGTACCAGGAAAACCAATTGCCTTCGGTATCAGAAAAATTATATAAAACTAACAATTTAAAAAATACCCATATCAAGATCTTCTTCCTCATCTAATAATAAGAAAATATACAATAAGAAAAGAAAGAAAGGACTTCTAGTAAGGTGGCGGCTTCGCCGCCACCAGAAAATTTTTAAACCATACCTGGCTACGCCTACCGGCATAAACTCCAACGGCCTGGACACAGCTCAAATTGAAGAAAAAACCTAGCCTAACCTAACCAACCCTCATTAGCATCTGGCCAGTGAACCTCGATCACAACTTTAAACGAATGTGTTTTGTATCGTGGGCATCTAATAATAAGAAAATATACAATAAGAAAAGAAAGAAAGGACTTCTAGTAAGGTGGCGGCTTCGCCGCCACCAGAAAATTTTTAAACCATACCTGGCTACGCCTACCGGCATAAACTCCAACGGCCTGGACACAGCTCAAATTGAAGAAAAAACCTAGCCTAACCTAACCAACCCTCATTAGCATCTGGCCAGTGAACCTCGATCACAACTTTAAACGAATATGTTTTGTATCGTGGGCATCTAATAATAAGAAAATATACAATAAGAAAAGAAAGAAAGAACTTCTAGTAAGGTGGCGGCTTCGCCGCCACCAGAAATTTTTTAAACCATACCTGGCTACGCCTACCGGCATAAACTCCAACGGCCTGGACACAGCTCAAATTGAAGAAAAAAACCTAGCCTAACCTAACCAACCCTCATTAGCGTCTGGCCAGTGAACCTCGATCCCAACTTTAAACTAACGTGTTTTGTATCGTGGGCATCTAATAATAAGAAATTATACAATAAGAAAAGGAAGAAAGGACTTCTGGTAAGGTGGCGGCTTCGCCGCCACCAGAAAATTTTTAATCCATACCTGACTACGCCTACCGGCATAAACTCCAACGGCCTGGACACAGCTCAAATTGAAGAAAAAAACCTAGCCTAACCTAACCAACCCTCATTAGCGTCTGGCCAGTGAACCTCGATCCCAACTTTAAACTAACGTGTTTTGTATCGTGGGCATCTAATAATAAGAAATTATACAATAAGAAAAGGAAGAAAGGACTTCTGGTAAGGTGGCGGCTTCGCCGCCACCAGAAAATTTTTAATCCATCCCTGACTACGCCTACCGGCATAAACTCCAACGGCCTGGACACAGCTCAAAATTAATTTTTTTTTTTTTAAATATTAGGTAAGTACCGACATGCCGTAATTAACGTACAATCATCATGAAATAAAATAAAAAGACGGTTATCTGTGATTACTACAAATGTTTTCACTTTGAGATCCAAATTTACCTGCTGGCCAGACACTATGTAATTTTTCAGCCAACTTTCACTAACCGAATTATTTCCTGACTTATATGTTTTCTTACTCGATTTGGCAACACCGCATTTATAGAAACTAGATACATCAATTGTCATTAAAAATAATTTTATGTTTATTTATTTTTCTAATAAACTTAAAATGAAAAATAAGAAAATTTGATCGTTTATGAAAAAACTTGGTACGGTTTATTGCTCTATGAATGGTCTTATATTGATATTAGCCGTTTCTACAACAAGAAATCAGTGAAAATGGTTTATTTCACATTTGTTTTATGATGGAGACCGGACAACAAATTTTAAGGATTTTCAGAATTTTAAGGTAAAATTTTTTTTTTAAATAAGTGTTAGCGGACCCAAAATTGTTATGCATAGTGTGTTTCCAAGTGTCTAGAAACTCTTTATAACATTTCAATAGTTATATCCGCCGTTCGAGTGTCGGCGTATAATACCGGCAGTGGATTTATCAAAGCCAGAAAAATCACCCACAACTTGCAATATAGAACCAGTGGCCAAAAACCTCAATGTAGCATGGACTATTTCTGCAGGTGTTAAAGCTTGGCTCCTGCAACGAAAGACTAGAGCATAAAAATCTTAGCAAATTAAATCTATATATTCATTCTCACCTATTTGTTGAAGAAACTAAATCGTTCTCGACCTCTTCAATTATTAAACGCACTACTTCTTTAGACAAACGAAATCTAGCTAAATATTCTTGGTCGTTCCATACTTGAAAATGATCCGTTCTAACTCGAAACTGTCTAGGTGCCCTAGGATGCACATATGCATTTACAAGTTCATTAAAGTCCTCATCATCCGTATATTCTTCCATAACATTTAAATTTAATAACAGAAGAAACCTCTTAATTCACAGCTCACGACAAATGACAACTCTTTCTTAGGTTAGAATTTGGCTGTTAATGGCTTAACTGTCTAATTTTAGGTAGTTAACAAACTGAGCCTTAACTGGGCCAGTTAACACTAACTAGCTATTATACAACACGCATTTCACTAACTAATCCCGGTTAAGCCTTAACCGTTCGTTGTACAACCCGCCCTAAAGGTAATTTCCCTAAAAATGAAAAATGCATAATTAAACCGTTGTATAAAAGTGGAGAAAAAGCAAAGTTTGAAAATTACAGACCAGGAGGTTATTCTCTAACTTTCAGCCAAAAACGCATAGCAACGAAAGCGCCAAGTTCGATCACTAAAATGACAAACATGGTATTCTCTAATGCTAAACAATTTTGCTATTCAAAAGTGATTTTTGTCGTAAGCTGTCATAGTATCGTAAATGCTGATTGGTTAAATGAATTAAGGTTAGGATTTGAATGTCATTTTGACATTATTATAACACATTAATCATTAAACATGAACGCAGAGTTTAAAAGCAACTAAATAGGACCCAAAAGCAAACTCTATTAGAATATATTGAGATCAATTCCAAAATGATAACGAATCAGAAACATAATAAACAGCATAAATTTGCTGACATTTTAATATTCAATTTTAATTTTAATAGTCAACTCTATATTGTAATGTTTGATTTATCTACGTCCGCAAATGTTGTAACATTTTAAAAGGCTAATTATAAAATGTTATTTTAAATGTGTGCCATCCGGTATAATTTAATTATCGCCAACACACAATATTCTAAAGAAAGGGAAATTTCTTGAAGTGGGAGTACCACTAATCAAATCAGATTTGTAAATTTCATTTCATTATTACCTTTCAATTTTATCGGTGGTGCATTTGGGCTGATAAAGTGGTAAGCACAAAAAGTATATAATGTCTTTATTAAATATCTCAGTAGAAATATTATTCTAACCTTTTGTTAATTATTAGTTTTTTAATAGTAAAGTTAAATATATTTTTATGATTCATTCTGGTTGCTAGAACGGCACAATATGTATAGTCAC